CCACCCAGGCACCAGCACCAGCACCACCCAGGCACCAGCACCAGTACCACCCAGGCTGGTGAGACTATGCAGTGCCAGTGCCACCTTGGCTAGTGAGGCCATATTAGTTCAATGAAATGGTGCTAAACACAGGGAAGGGATGGCATTGAAAACACACCCCAAAGTAGCCAAAGGCACTAGAAATGGAAACAACCACTTGTCCCGTTTTCTGAGGACCTTGGCCCTGGCTGATGTGCCTAAATGTCCATCCGCATATATAAGTACATGGCTTCTTTAGTTTCACAGGTGTTTGGTAGGACAGACATTTATCCGGTTGGTCTTTATTTTGACCCTGTAAAATATTTAGTACTTTTAGTGGAGGGGTTCATGCTAATTATCATTAGTTTTTTAGCAAATCCCATCAGTGATGTTCTGTGATCTTTTACTTAGGTATAAAACGATGATTAGGACCACATCATGGTGCAAAGGAGAGCAAGTCCCGAGTCTGCATCCCAAAGACCTGGTAGCAGCCCTGGACCTGCTGTCGAGGGACTGTGCCAGCACAGGCCAGGTGCAGGGGCCCCATGTCTTCATCGGTAAGATGAGGCCCAGGAATTAGATGTTCCCTATTGTTGAGATCTGCAAGCTCCTTCCCCCCACCCCAGGAGGATGAGGAAAGTCCAAGTCCCAGAAGTCTAATTCAGGGCTGTAAAAAGTTCTCTGTGTCTCCCTGGGAATAGTTTTTGGCTGCCTTATATTAGTGTTGGCAGAAATTGTTCTGTAAGGGGGGAACCCACAGAGGTGGATTTCTTTCTCAGAGCTACATAAACCAGAGGAATCTGTGAGACTCACGTAGTGTGGTCAGCAACTCCAGCTGCCTTCTCTGCTCAGCCTTGGCATTGCTGCTGAGGAGAGGGTGGGCTGCGTGGAACCATGTTGGGGTCTCCAGTCATGGCCGAGGAGTCAGGATGTGTTCTGGACTGTGGTGTGGGACTGACTTTGAACCACTGAAGGTTTGAGTTTGGGTCTAGAGACTGCCTATGGAAAGAACAAGAGAAAAGAGATTTTTGGGAAAAGTGTTACTTTCACTTACGTTCCTTGTAGGTAATTCCCCCCCCCCCCCACTGATAAGGTTTCCTTTTTTTTGAGACTCCCGGCTCTCTCTTGGGTAGCAGACTAATTCCTTTCCTGTATGGCATTTGATGTTTAGGCAACCCCGATTCAGTCTCCTGGAGTCATCTTGAATATGTGTGTGTTTTGTAAATTGTTTCCTGGTGTGGCTAACGCAGGTGGGGTTTCCTGCAATTTCTGCAGTAGCCAAGGACAGTGGAGAGCAGGCCTCCTCTGATCTGTAGCTAGTTTCCTTTGGATGGACCCAGACGGGTTGTCCCTGAATATGCTAAAATCTCTAGGAGGAGGTTAACATGCAATTGCTTAACATTCTTAAAGTGCTTGGGAATTGGAGGCTGGAGAGCAGTTGAGAGCACTCGCAACCTGATCTTCCAGAGGATCAGGGTTCTATTCCCAGCACTCAAATGGTGGCTCACAACCACCTATAACTCCCATTTCAGGGGGTTCAAAGCCTTCTTCTGGCCTTTGTGGGCTCCAGGCACACATGCGGTACACAGACATACATGCAGGCAAAAACACCTGTGTACATAAAAAATTAAATTAAAAAATGCCCGGGAGTTGAAAGAGGAGAGTGGAGAGTTAGTATAAGCACCCAGACGCCATATGTTCCTAGCTAGTTTAAACAAGCTGTGTACAATGGGAATCCCAGTGGACAGTTCTTTCATGTACCGGCAGTCTCTGGCACCCACTTAAAGACATGTGCAGCTGCGGCGTGCGGGGTGGGGGTCCTCCATTCCTGTCTTTCTCCTTTTGGACTTTGTGCATCTGTTGGCTTGGGTGCAACCCCTTTTTACTGGGGTGACTTTATCCAGGTTCTCATTAGTTTTCAGCTGACTCTGTACAAGTGGACGCTTGATGGCTCCTGTGTGCCAACCAAACATCGAAGTCGAAACCCTGGCCGACGCTGAATGGTGCAAGAGTGCATTCTTTCCCCCCTGGTTGTGATCTTTGCTTGGATTCCCCTGCAGTACATTTCACAAAACAACACGTATGGCACAGTACATTGTCATTTATTTCAAACGCAGAGTCAGGCATGCTTTTTTTTTTTTTTTTAATTTTTATCCCTCGCATGGAGGAAGGACCAGTGGCATTCAGTTTAGGAAGGAACATCAAGATCACAGAGTCAGGCTCTTCAGCTCCCTTTACAGTTTCTCTCCCAATGGGAAGCACTTCCTTAGGCTGTCCGAGACAGCCTCTCTGCTGGTAGAGAGCTTTGCAAGCTCCGAGGCTCTTATCAAACTAAAGCCCCTCCAGGCCACACACAGTGAGGGTGATCCCTGGTCTGAGCTTCACATTTCAAACCCTTTATTTCCATTCAGCTCACACTTATCTTGTGCCCTGGTTTTCAGTCACCATCCTCACTTTAGCTTGCAGCTTTGGCATCTACATTACCTGCATGCCGCTGGGTCCCATGACCCTGCATCTGCATGCAGAGATCAGGGTGGAGGCATCCAGGCCGTTCTCCCAGAGTCTCCCACAGTCAGTGGTGTGTGCACATCCCTATGCGGAGTTTCTTAGAGGAAGGCAGAGATGGCCGGAGTGTTGGACTAGTTCATGTGCCTTTTGTAACAAATGAGAACAAACTTAATAACCATCTTGTAGTTGTGCGGGTCAGGAGTTAGACATGGTTTCATGGGCTGACAGCCTGTGTCCCTGTCCTGGGGCTCCAGGGAAAATCTATTGTCATGCTTCTTCCAGCTCCCAGGGGTGCCCATGTTTGTTTGTTTTTTTTCCCCTTGTGGATCCTTCCTTCCTTTTTAAATTCAGCTGCCTTTCTCTAATGCTTCCTCTCTGTTCACATGACCTCTGATTCTTTCCCTCTGCTGCCTTCTCTTCCAGGGGACTTTGTGATTGAGCTGAGCCCACCTGGATATTCTGGGGGAACATTCCCTGTCTGTCACTGCCTCAACCCCCTATGCAGCCTTAATGTTCCTTCATCCCATGAGCTGACACACCCATGGGTGCTGGGACTTAGGGTGTGGATAGCTGTCAGGCACCATGAGTTTCAATACCATGTTCAACACGCCCTGTAGGTAGTAGGCAGGGTTCTCGTGAGTGTGCGCGTGTGCATATGTGCTCACATGTGTGGGGAGCACAGCCAGTGTCAGGTGTCCTCACCAGTCATTCTCCATCTATTTATTTATATTTATTTATCGTGTGTGTGTGTGTGTGTGTGTGTGTGTGTGTGTGTGTGTGTGTGCCGCAGGATGTGTGTGGAGGTCAGAGGACAACTTGCGGGAGTCAGTTCTTTCCTTCCACCAAGTGGGTCCTGGGATTGAACTCAGGTCCTCAGATTTGGTGACAAGCCATTCTTCTGCCAGACTTCCCCTTTAGTTTTTACAGTGGAGTCTCTTCCCTGACTCTGGAGCTCATTGATTGAGCCTGACGGACTGGCTGGAGTTCCAGGCATCTTCTGTCTCTGACCTCTCAGTGAAGGGTTAACAGATGTGTGCTTCTACCGCTGGTTTATGATGGCGCTGAGGATTTGAACTCAGGTTCTTGTGCCTGTGGGGACTGTAGCCTTTCTAGGCTGCCTGCTTCCCCTTGGCAAAATGTGTATGGAGGGCTTGTTACAGTCCTCTTTTACTGTGCCCAGCACCGATGTCTGCTGTTCAGGCACTGGGGCTATAATGTGGAGATCAGCCGGAAAATCATTTGCTCAAACTTGTTGTACTAAGTATGGGAAACTGAGGTTGGCATAACTCTTAGCTCCTGTTTTTTTTTTTTTTTTTTTTTTTTTCTGGTAAAATTGAGAAATTAATGCTAACCCTTTAAGGTTCCAGGCTTGGTTACATGTTGGGAGTCTATCATAAGAGTGAGTATTTGGCAGAGATAAAGGGTGGTGGGGACGCCGGAAGCAGAAAATAATGTGGGCAGAGTGGAAGGCCATAACATGTACAGCGGGACCCCATTGAGGAAGGGGCTGGGGGCAGGTGATGGAGGCTATGCACATGGTGAGGGAGGGGAAAGGGGCTGGGAGGGTGACTGGCCACACATGGGGAGAGGTGCATTGTGTCAAGGGTTACAGTCACATTCTGAGGGCTACCGCCATCTTGGCAGTTATTGGTTAAGTCTGGACTTGTATCAATGCAGAGAGGTGGGTGACTTTCCCAGAGCCACATGAACCAAGACATGCTTTCTTCCCAGGAGTCCATCCATGAGTTTCTCTCCCAGGGCAGAGGAAGCACTTCTCTGTATGCTGTTAGTAAACTGTGGAGGCTAGCCACTCCAAGTGCGTCAAACGATTCATTGTTTGCGTGGACTCATTGTCCTGAGAAATGCAGAGACTGATTTTGCTTTCTCTGAGCATTTCCCAACAGTTCAACCAGACCCCGCGTGGCTCTCTCTCTCTCTCTCTAATTTTAAAGGCTGTTATCCTATTGCCCAAAGGATTTAAGGTAGCTGACAATAAAAAGAGAGATAAAAGAAAACCGGAAACCTTTAAAGGAAGAATCAAAAATAGAACACCAAGCTCCACATGCGAGTCAGAAGGACTGTGGGCTGAGAGAGCCGCTCTGCAGGCCCAGAGGACTTTGCCAAGGAGGTCGACGCTTTTGTGCTTTCCAGCCCCCGCCTTTCTCTGTTTCTTGCTTCTCTTCAAGTGTGATAGTTTCTGAACACAGCTCGAGTGACCTTATCCCAAATTCCCAAATCCAAAGTGCTTCAAAAATCTGGAAGTTTTGGGACTCCTACCTGAGGCCACATCTGATCTCCTATGGTGACAGTCAAGATTCAGGTGTAAAATGACCCTCAATAAGTGGATTTTGTATCTAGATAATCTATGGTGGTTGACAGAGGGCCTCAAGGGGGAACTTGTCACACGGAGACACCGCTGATTGGGAATACTTTCTTGACGCTGGCAATAGATTTACTGAGTCCAAAGTACTTTCTGATTTAACTGTGGTTCCTATAGGACTTGGGAAATGCCTTTGCTGAAATATTTAAGAGTCTTTCTAGCTACAGAGAATCAGTTACTTAGGTAACAGCCCCAACAGTCAAAAGTGAAATGCTTTTCTAACTTTGGCCTTCTAGCTTTTTGCACACTCATCATGTCTTAAATAAGAGTGGATTTACTTTCACAAATCACAGGCTAACATCTTGAGTCACATAAACTGCGGCAGCTTCGATGTTCTGGCAGTCGCAAAACTAAATGCAGGCAGGAACAAAGTTTGTCGTTTTAGAAAGCAGATCTCACATATCCCAGGCTGGCCTCGAACTTGTCACGCAGCTGAGGATGGCTTTGAACTCTGATCCTCTAGCCCCCATCTCTCCCGTGCCGTCACGTGACACCATGCCTAGTGTGTGTGAAAGCTGGGGCTGGAACCCAGCCCCTTGTGCATGCTGAGCTAGCACTCTGCTGACCGAGCCTCCCCTCAGCGCCAGGGGGCTTACAGCTAGGAATGCAGCAGCTGGACTTCTTTGTGGCCTATGAAACCTCAGAGCTGTCGTGGAAACCAGCCTTCTCTTCAGACTCCTCAGCTGCTGCTCCTGGGGGTGCAATCTGTGCAGCCATCCCTTCACGGCCTCTCACATTCCTTCCCTCAGTGGCAATAAACCCTGAAGCTGCTCAGGCCCTCCCCCCCCCTTTTTTTCACCCCAGGTGCCAGATGTCAGGTCTCAGAACAGCACTGGTCTAATTCTATGGATCCTTGCTCGCTCCTGAGTTCAACAGAACCGAAGTTCTTATTAACAAAAACGTTTTCCTGTTAGTTGTGCTGACACCAGTGTTGAAGCATGGGGACATTTGAATACAGCAGGTATCTTCCGCTGGCTGGCAGGGGCAGAGTCTCTGGCAAACTTCATAACATACCCAGCATCAAAGCAGGCTCGTTGGTTGGAACGCTTACCTGTGGCAGGTCTGCAGAGAAGTCGTATTGCATTTGCATCATACTTGTGCACATGAGTGTGCTTTCCTAGTGTCAGTTACACGTGGTTCATTTTTAAAGCGAATATTCTTTTATTGTTTTCTGTAATTTGGAGTTTCTAGAACAGCCCTGAGCAGGTTTACATGTTCTGGTCAGAGTCCTACCAGAGAGGTTGTTACCTGTGGTGTAAAGTAGAACACAGGAATTGCCACCACCAGCCACTGGGAGCCTACCGTGAAGCTGGAGGAAGGAGCAAGGCCAATAAACTCAAGCAAAACATGCCATTCTCTCTGGGAAAGCAAGTGGGCAGATCAACATCCAACCTGTTGCCCTGTGATCCCAAAGAATGATAATATCACCATTTATTTCCACATATAAAAGCATGGTTGTATTTTCAATAGGGTCATTTTTATTGGCCTGAAATTCTCTCCAAGCTATCCAGAAGGTTGCATTCCATTGGTTCTCTTAGCCGTAGGTGTCCCACTGAAGGCTTGTGGCGACTCCTCTGCTTAGTTCACTAACCTCTACGTTCCTTTTCATTTCAGCATCTCTCAAGAACCTCCGCAAGAATAAAGAGGTGGTTCCGACTTCTGGTAAGAGAGCGTACCGTGGGGGACCGGTCATTTGCTGGGCTCTTGCATATGACACAAGGTGTGGAGTGGGGAAACATTTGGGGTCACTCTGCCCATCTGAGAGTCACCCCAGTGGGAATGACTATAGTCGCTTTTATTCCTTGCAACATCTGGGTTTTCCTCAAGATTGCTTCCCGAGAGAGGAGTTTTTCTGCTTTGGATGCCCTGGGCTCCCCTTGCTGTGCATGCAGCTTGCCAAGCTGTCCTCTGAATGGTGGGTGATCATTAGGTCATTTGAATACTTTGGCTTAGCGTATGGTAGTGCTGTCTGCCAGTCAGCTCAGTTTAGGTAGACATGTTACTGCTTTATGCATTTATTTTGAAATTTCACTGCATTTACAGTGACAATATTTTAAAGAAAGGATTAGAGAAAAATCTTCCTAGAGTGGCGATGAGCTTAGGATCCAGGCAGGAAACCTCAGATGAGTATGTGCCCCTGGTGCACTGCAGGTCATGGCCTTAGCCACAGTTAGAAGCTGATTAGAATGCGGGCTGAGTTATGAAAGGAAACGGTACAGAACACATAGGCAGTGCCCAGAGCAGCTCACTGATGGTTGAGTTTGAAAGTCAAGGTGAGTGCCAGGGCTTTGAAAATGTGTTTCAATATATCTTCCCATAACATGGATATTATGGCAAACTAGTATTTTGTATCCTCATTTTGTTATGTTAATTACTTTATCCATATAAACACATTTTAATGTCCTCATTGTATTTTGTATTTTGCTCATTCTAATGTCTTTGTGTCTTCAGGAAGGTTCTATGTGAATGGGACAAGGGGACTTCTGATTCAGTCATAAGTTATTCCTTTATTTTTTTTCATTTATCAAACAGTCTGAGTTTCTTTCATATGCCACTTGGGTGCTTGAAGAAAGGATGAGTAAGATATAACTTCTGCCTCACTGCCTGGGGTCCACCACAACCTTTATGTGGGGTCCCAACTACATTCACTAGGGGGCAGTGAGTAGCCAGGGGCCAGGCACAACTTCTACCTTAGGTCTCTGGCTTCCAGCGAGCATATGACAGTCTTTATGCTTTCTTCCAAACTTCTGGTTCATGCATTTATTTTCACTATTTAATCTTTTTAAAAATGTGTACTATAGCATGTATGTATGTATGTATGTATGTATGTATGTATTTTCACTAAATAGTGAATAAATAAGCTTTTATATTTATTCACTAAATAAGCTTTTATAACAATGAGCACTGTATCATGTAAGGATTTATTTTCACGATTAAGCTTTTATAATAATGGGTATTTGAATGATCTGAGCATTGATTATTTTTCTACTCAGCAAGCTTCAGCTATGTGTCACCATATTTCTACAGTTCCTATAGATGTGTCTTTTTATCTCTGTTTTCCAAGAGAGAATTCATTGAAACCAAGAAAAGGAAGTGGGACTTGTCTAAGGCTATTTTTAATGCACAACTCCCATGTCGTCGTTGCCCAGTATAAGTTGTGTTGTTGTGACTGAGGTGTGTGCTGACTGTCATTTGTGAATCCGACACAGTCCCACTGTTCTGACCAAGCTCATGTGTGTCAGAGTGGAATTCCAGTGTAGAACAGAAGGTAGAAAAATTCAGTGGATACCTGGAAACAGACCACAATCAGAATGCTGGACTTCCAGGGCCTGGGAAGGAGGCGACCAGGATGCAAGACCAGTATAAAGGACAACTGAACAGTCAACAGGAATTTGCCAGGCAGACACTGTAGAGAAGGGGCTGTGGGCAGAGGAATCAGAGTATTAAGGCTCATCGTAAAACTACAGCAGATTTTGAGAGGTGAGACTCACAGGTGTGGATGGAGTCAAAGGCTAATGTGTGAGGAAGGAAAGGAACATAAAGCTGGTATAGCAGGGCTTGGCTCTTTGGTCATTTGTGGCAGGGAAGGAGGAAGGCTGAATTGCAGCAAGGAATATCAGCCCCCAATCCCAATGGCTCTGCATGACAGAGCTTTCTTTAATGACCACAGAAAGCCCACTGTGGGTGGCAGCTCTACTGAGCTTTTCTCCTCCCCTGCATGACCCAGGTACCCTTGGTGTTATGATGTCAGTCACCTGGCCTCTGAATCTGATGCCAGAGAGAGACAGGAGGAAGTTGTATCAAGTACTAACCCTCTCAGTCCAGAAAGGACAAGTTGTGGCTCGCATTTCTTTAGTTGAAACTACTCATCTGGCCCACTAAGATGCAAGTGGCTGGGAATGCAGATCTAGTGGCTATCTGATCCTGGCTGCCAGAGTCTCATTTGCTGTAAAGTCTTTTTTCTTGTAGGTCATGCTAAACCAGGGAGATAGTTGACCAAATTTATGTGTTACTCAGTAACAAAGGGAATATAGGAAGGCAAGAGAATATTAGGGTGTAATTCTAATATTCTGTCAGTTGGGGACAGCTGGGCCAAGGCAGTGGGATCACACAGGGGATTACAGGTTTCTGGGATGAGACCAGATGGTTCAGACTTGGCATAATGGAAATGAGAGGTCAGGATGAAACTGGAGATGAAGTCTGTGATTTGGGATTTGTAAGTTGCTTCTGAAGGTGAGAGGGAGAATAGATATTGATGGGAAGGTGGTTCGTGAACATGATGAATCTTATGCATGTCAGTTGGGCTACCCAGTATCCCCCACTTTCTGTGAGGCTCCTCTTAGTCTTGATTTCCTCAGCTCAATTGTTGTGTAGTTTGTCAGGAAGAGCTGGTGTGCTTAGTCTCCTTCCCTGTGCTTTACAGACTGTCTCATTTGTGCTAAACACAGGGCCTGGATTCTCCTATGTGCTCATTCCTTTCCTTTTCATTTAATAAAAGTGCCTTCCCTGTCTCAGGGACTCATAGAAAGAGCAAGTCTTTCCATAGCTGTTCAATTTTCAATGATCAACAGATGATATCTGTGTAGTTAATGTCTGGTGACATGTCCTTCATTCCCTCTTCTCAGGCATCTCTTCTATCCTTTTTATACTTGCTTGAGATTGTGTTTTTACATGAGGGCAAATGTGATGATACAGTCAAAAGAGCATTTCAGGTTTAATACCCTGTGTGAAAATTATTTTCACTGTCATTACTAAATCCTTGATACTATGATAGCAACATTTGTCTGTGATTTATTTCAGTTGGTTTAAATGGCTACTGTGTTTATTGGTGATTTTGTCTTATTTTGTTTACTGAAAAAAAAAGAAAAAGAACAACATGACATTATAGAAGAAAAAAACATACCCGCACTGCCAGAAACCCACGTAGAAGCAGAAATTCAAAGAGAGCCATCAATGGAACAAGAATTACAAGAGTCATCATCAACACAGGACCAAAGACCTAAGCAACAGGAATCTCCTGGACAGTCATCCTTGAGACCATCATCACCAGAGCAACAATGTGAAGGACAAGAGGTATCTACACAGTCATCCTTGGGACCACCATCCCCAAAGCAACAACATGAACAACAAGAGGTATCTGGACAGTCAACCTTGAGACAACCATCCCCAGAGCAACAACTAGAACAAGAGGTAT